GTATTTAGTACTTTGACCGCAACCTGCAATAAAATACGGTCCTGGAAAGGTAGAAGGGTAGCGACCAATTTTGATTGACAGCTTTATACAGGGTACAGCTTCGAAAGCGACTGGAAATTTTCCAGCGGCAATACTCATAATTGGAATCATTTACATTTATCTTTTGGTGAACCTTATTCGAAGATTCTAATTGTAATTTTGTTTACACGACAAAACAAATTGTTTGAAACTTTTTTTTGAAGGTTTTTTTATACAAGGTGTTCATTTTATCTGTTCACGTCTGACGATCTTTGCATATTATCCGTTCACGATCTTTAGTTGACCATGAAAATCTAGTGAGTTTGTTGGTATTCAATGCAGAAGAATAAAAATTCCCTGAACTTTTTTCGTTAGGTTATGTTTTATTAAATTAAAGGTTAAAAAATATGCCAGAAATATAAACATTGTTGCCGATACTTTCAGTTTTCAGTAGCAACGGTATCCATTTCTTAAAAAAGCATAAAACTTTACGCTATTTAAAACAGTTATTCGGCTTTTTGTAGGTGTTTATTTCATATGTAAGGAACAAACACTAAAATTTCACTTAAACATTGTTTTTATATGAATGGGGGTTCTACATACGACTATTGTCGCACGCCACATTTAGCATCTCATCTTTAATTCTCAATCATCAGTTCGTTCGGCTTGCCCACTCTTAGAAATGGAAATTTCGACCTTTGTGAACAGCCTATTTCCATATCTTCCAACTTATTTTTTCACTTTTCTAAGTTTACTAAAAGGGTTGGTAAAAGACAACAACCTTGCTCTAGTGCTTTGATGGGTTTAGCTCTTCTGAAACATTTTTCCGGCCTTAAATTGAATTACTTTCTATATAGCTATTACTAATGCTTACGTAAGTGCTCTTTATTTGCTTTTACTAAGTACTTCCAAACGCTCATTAAAATAGTAATTTACGCAACTAGTTCGGGATAGCCTGCTTCCCGCATGAACGCTTGTTTGAGGCACGACCGAAGGGAGTGCCGCATTCGCGTGAATGCGGGAAGCAGGCTCACGAACGTGTTGTGTACAATATTTTTTGCGACGAATAAACCTTTAAACTGAAGAGATTAACTGTGAGTTATTTATAAACAACGCCATTGACAGCGCCGTCAACACGTCACAATGTTGACACTACCCGAGTATTTTAAGGTTACCATGGCAACGGGAAGTTAAATGCACGTGTGCGGGAAGTTCGACCTCCCGCACTCTGGTGAATGCGCGAAAGCTATCAAAAAAGGTCATGAGTACAAAAAAAATTAATACTCAATTTATTAATGGATCAGATTACAACGAAAACGAATTTATAATAAATGTTCAAAATGCCTGCCTCCACTATCCTCACAAAGTACTCTATCCTCGGTCCAAAATTTCTACGAACTCTAACATGTCGGGAGTTCCAGGTTACAGATCTGCATAACACTATTATCCTTTCACTTACGTGGTTTTCATTTTTGATTGGGACACTGTAGACGTCATTTTTCATCTTCCCCAAAGAAAAAAAATCTAATGGCGTTAGATCAAACCATTTGTCTTTGACTCACGTGGGGATTTTCTGCTACAATTTCAATTAGAGCAGCTTCATTATCCGGCGTTGTTACAGTTCGATTTAATTTTTTTTGAATTGCTCAAATTCTCGTAAATTTTTTTCAAGTTTTCTAAACGCTTGATTTGAGAGAGTTCTTCTACTACGAACAGCAGCATCAAAATTTTTGTCACACTTCCCCAATATTAATAGCATGCCTGTTGTTTCAGAATTCGAAAACATTTTAAAGCAACCGAAAATTGAAAATATTTGGCTGACAAATAATAATTTGTCATAATTTTGATTCTGATCATTGCTATCCATGAGTTAATTATTATTTAAAAATTAAACTTAATCAAAGCTGTTTATGAAACGTAAAATGGGTTGCCTATGCAGACATATTCAGACACAGCATAGATATCAATCAGTAGAGACAGCTCGTGTCGGCGCCTTTGTTCTTTCTGACCCGAATTTTAAGCTGTCATGGGTGGTCGTTGCCTAAACTATTCCTAGATGTCGCCACCCAATTTAAAAAGTATCACTTCATTTACAATTTCAAAAATTGATTCGTGTACGCAATTTATTGCAAACTGTCTAGTTTGCTCAAATCGTATAATCGTGAATCGCAATAAGAAAAAAGAAAAGTCGATATTTAATTTATAAACACGATCATTTGTTACAGTTTTTATTTTATTACTTATACAATTTGACAATTCGCACATTCTTTCCCCGAATACTTGAGGTTTAATTATCATTGTAAAAATAATGTAATAAATTCATCTAAAAAGAAAGAGGTTTATTTAAGAAAAAATAAATAAAATAAAAATTAAATTACAAAAAGGAAAAAAGTTAATGCTGCCAAATTATTTTTTTTCTATTAATTTTTTCACTTTTGGCATTTGTAAATTTAAAGCTAGCATTTACAAATTTTAGTGCATAAAATAATCTCATCCTAGCATACAAAGTAAGCAAATAATCGTATGGAAAGTTTTGGCATGGATGAACAAATGTAGCTTGCTTATATAAATTTAAAAATTTTAACAAAGTAGTTGTTTGTAAAATTATATTTTCAAAATTTTCACTAAAATTTTGCTCTAATTCACAAATGTAAAAAAAGAAATTATCGTTTGGCATATATAATTTACCAAATAACTCGCAATTCTTCGTTTGGTAGGCCCTGAAATGTGAATATATGCTTGTGTAATTACTTTATACAAGAAGAAATATAAAAATAAGAACAGTACCTGTTAAATTGTTTAATAATTTCAAAAATTTTACGAAAAAAACGCATTTTACCTAACAACTTAACCCGTAAGCGTAATATCATATAAAGTAAAATTTTTATTTAAAAAAAATTATTACAAAAAAAATACATATTTGTCGACTCGCATAAAGTGCAGGTAATTGGTATGGGTCGACGCAGGTAAGAATAATTAAGGAATTCATGAAACCGGAAGTCCATAGGGATTAAGCGACTGCTTATGGGTTAAGCAACGTCTCAAAATAAAACTCAAGATTGTGTAGGTCAAAAAAAATATATATACAGGGTGTCTCAGAAATAAGTACATTAATTTTAATCAGTTATAGAGCTCATTGAACTCAACAACTTTTTTTAGTAGAGTTTTGTCAAGAACTTTTTAATTATCAAGTTAAAAATTGCTAAAGTTATACCCCAATTAAGGTTACCCGCCCATGGATCCTCAGTCACCCATGGACACTAATAATTATTATAATTAATAATTTGTGGTCGAAAACAGTTACTAGGATACGTATTTTCCTAATCTTGTCAATGTGACAAACATTTAGGGAGAAATTGAAAATCCTGCTCCCTAATGGCGTACGGAATTTCATCGGCCCAAATGTGGGTGTTGAACACCTTCCCTCGTGTAACCCACCTCATCAGTTGATGGTATAAGAGATACAAAATTTGCTTGTTCGTTTATTTTTCTATTAACCCACTCACAAAAGTTTTGCCTACGTGGTAAGTCTGTTAGTTTCAATAACTGAACTTTCTGGTCCTGAAAGGGGTACATTTGTTCTCTGAGTATCCTCCAAATACTACTCTCCGATACATCACACTAGACAGTGATACGTGCTAGTGCCCGGTCGAGCTTCGACACTCTTCAAAACAGCCTCTTCAGTATTAGCAATTCTATTACTACGTAACTTACCCCGATTCTGAGGTGCCGGTTTAAAAGATCCGTACTCTCGAAAATACTGCAACGTTCTTAAAACTGCGCACATTTGGCAGACGATTTGGGAGGTTTTCTGAAAAAATTCGTTGGGCGCGAGTGCCGTTTCCCGGAGCTTCACCTTACGTTAAAACGATATCGGTGCATTCCAGATTTGAAAACAAAGCCATTTCAACACATTTCGTCTATAAATTAGAAATCTGTGCCAAACAAACTTTAAAGAGACAACGTTTAATAAAAACATTGACATAAAAATGATTGTCAGTGTCAAAACTGTTGCTACGGTACCTTCTTCATTGTTGTAGTGTTGCTATTATTTAAGTTATTATTTAAGGTGAACATAGACGGCTCGTGAATATATGGGTGGGAAAATTCGAAATTCGACTTGAGTTTTCGAAAAAATGCTAGATAAAAAAGTTGTTCCGTTTCACGAGTTCTGTTACTGGTTAAAATTAATGTACTTATTTCTGAGACACCCTGTATACATGATGAATAAAAAAATTGTTTATTGAGTGAAGGTCTGCTTATATAATTTTTTGTTACGTGTAGTTTGTTTCTTATTATTTTTATATTTAATTTTACCACAACAACGGAATCATATATAATAAATTTTTATTATTTATTTCATAACCACCGTTGTTGTTCGTTTGCGACGACTTTTTAAACAAAAAGTGTGTTATGTTTACTATCTTTTCCAAGAATTCCAAACACGAGGGAGAGAATAAGGCGCACAACAGGGATCCTGTATGAAAATTCATCGGACAAAGATTTTACCTTTTATTGTGAAAATTACATTTTTATACTATTTGTACAATTCTACCGGAAAAGCAGTCTTAAACAAGCAAAACTGGCAAAAATATTGTAACAAAACTGCCAAATTTCAAATATTTTAGACGTCAGTTGGGCGCCCTCATTCGGTCATAATGCGAACGACCACCCACGAAAACGGGTCACGAAAAACGGCGAGCCGTCTCTACTGATTGTTATCTATGCTGTGTATTCAGACGTGCACAGATAAAATGAACATTCTGTATACGTTTTGATTCCAAAACACGCGAGTTTTACGTGTTGCCTAACACCGTCGGTGACTGAAGTAACTCGCACAGTTCCAGTTCACTTGAAACATCCTGTACACATGTGAGATTTTAAATAACAAGTGAATTAATATTTGAAATTGTAGGCCATAAACACAAAAAGGCATCAATCATTACGTTTTTGATACCTGTATTCAAATATAACAAACAATAAAAAATCAAACAATCAATATATTACAGATTCTCATTTTCTTTGTTACAAAACACTTTAATTAGCTTAGGAAGTAACGTAACTTTTATTGGTTTCAGTTCATAGTTCTCATTATCTATAGAAAGCCACTCTTCATTCTTGCCTGCTTTTGGCTGAATTTCTACTGATCGCGCCACAATAACTTCTTTAACGTTACGACTTTCCCCATTTTCAGATCGCCATCCGTCTCTTACAAACCCGAAATAGTCAACAGACTCTGGTCCAATGTTAACCAACAATTTTGGCGCTTCTTGATTTGAACTCATATTGGCTATTGAAAGATTAAAATCAACTGTTGAAATATCTGTTTGACTAGTAGTTTGGCAATCTGGATTGATCACGTTTGCGTAACTTGGGTGTTGTTCTTTGTTGAACCTCAATAAAACAAAATTATTAAATTAAAATAACATGAAGTTGTTACCTACTTCTGGAACCATTTTTTTTGTTGTGGCTCGGTTCTAGCGCAGTTTGAACAACCTGTGCATGGAGGGGTATAATACATAAATGCTTTACAATTCCACGTTAAATTATTTTTATATCCATTAAATAAATACGTTGCATATTTTCTAAGTCCACCATAAAGCCAGTAGCTATCTTTTTTAGCTTCTGCATCTCTGTAAGCGCCCCACTTAATTCCAGCAACTGCATAAATCGGTTTATTTTCACCTTCCATTACTTCCACTTTCATAACATCAATGGGTTTAATAACTTCCTCAACAACTGCCATTGTGGCGTTTGCTAAAGTGCGCACTTTTTCCAAATGTTCACCACATGGAAAAAGAACTTTTGCTAATGAGTTGGTTTTACCCAGAGGAAGTATACCTTAAAAACTACGTTACACCGTTACTCACACCATACTATTACATACCAACTGGTATCAGTCCACTAGTATTCTCCTGCGTCCGTCTCAACAACCCTGTTATAACTTCAGATAAAGTACCATCACCTCCAGCAACAACAATAGCGTCAGTGCTTTGTAAATCATTAATGAGAGTCTTCGCGTGCCCTTCAGACTCAGTTTTAATAATATTGACGCAAATTCCGGCTAAATGCAACAACGGGGCACAATACTTTTCAAATTCATTCGTTGATTTACGTTTATTTGCGTTTGGGTTTAGTATCACAGTAATGCTTCGAGGTTCCGCATCCACTCGAATTGGTTCGTCTCCGTATTTGGCCGCTTTTTCACAATACACTCGCATTAATTCTTGAGTTCTAACAAAAAATGTACAATTTACTTGAAAAACAAAAGTGAGGTTAAGTTTACTTACTCGAAATATTCTTTAGTGTATCCGTAGCCGTACATTAACGCTACAGCTGCAAATGTAGATTTTTTCCAATTATTTCGTAAAGTTTTTGCCGTTTTTATAACAAAAGCCATGGTTCTTTAAGAAGTTTCACATGTAATTGTAAACATAACCTTACTAGATGTTTGACTAGTTGTCAGTTTTTAAAAAATGCGCGGTTTGTTGTTTCTTGGCGATAGTTAATCGCACAGTCCACACAAAACGTGTTATTTTTCGAATTACTTCTCAGATTAAAGAATTTACAACTTCCCTTGCTGCCTGGGCGTATCTAATGGGATTTTAATTTTAAATTACATCACCCATATTTGTAGTTAAATTGTGGTCAATAAAAACCGCTTTTTGTGCTCTTTGTTTTCTAAATATGTATCATCAATTTGGAATCTGGGGCCAAAACTTACTATTTTAGTTTAAATAAAACTAGCAATATGTAATTCGCACTTGTATGAATCCCTGCAACTCCACTCATGGGCATCAGTTTGGAATTCCAGTTATCATAAATCCTAACTCTACTTACATTTTTTTCACAAATCTGATAAAAACCTGTAGCAGAAATCTTTAATATTACGATACGACTTTTTCAAATGGAAAACGGGGTACATCAACGAAACGACTTAGGTTAATCCCGACGCGCACAAACTATTAAACTTTATTTACATTTATCAAGTAGAAAACGGATGGCAGGTAAATGAAAATCCTTGCTTTTATAAAACTTTAATAGTTGCATTTGTTATAGATATTTAAATTAACGAATCCCCTCGTCCACGGGTTTAAAAACAAACAGATCTTTCGTTATTTATTACAATTTCTAAACCAAATGAGAGCTGTTTAGTATTTTTAAGGAAACTAGTAAAGATAGTTTGGGAACGTTCTTGATTTTAAAATTAGAATCATCAAATAACAGTAACATCAACTTTTTTTTCACAAAAGCTACAATTTTTAGTTATAGGATTCTTTCACCATAATGAAAGAGACTTACACATCGAATTTGAAAAATTAAACTGGATGGTACATGTTATAGAAACGACAATTTACCAAACCATGTGAGAATCACTGACTTTGCTCCAGAGGTTATTAAAAACCTCTGTGTTGCACGCCAACCCAGTACTCCCCTTCCAATAACGTTTTACGATAAATATGGCAACGCTGTAATCAAGGTTATGAAAATATGATCATTTCAGTTTGTGGTTGCAGGTGAACAATTTGTACCTCAAAAACAAACTTTATTAAGAAGCAAACAAACAAAAGACAATGTTTTGAAATTTAAAATACTGTAACAAAAGAACCTTCCTATTAAACAATCATTAAAAGCAAAGTACTTTTTATTCAGCATTACCGTTCGTCTGTCCCTTTTTTCTTAAAGTTTTTTGCAATACATGAGCATCCGCTGGTTCTATTCTCTTATAATAATGTTCTTTGGTTTCCACTATCTCAAAGCCGAATTTTTTGTAAAAATCTATGGCTCCTTCGTTATTAACCTGCACGTGTCTGCAACAGATTTGTCAAAACATCGTCGGTGGAGTACTTTAACTTACAGGAATATGCTATCGAAATTTCCATCTTGTTCAACGTAATATAAAACGTGTTGAACCATTAGGGTTCCTATTCCAAGCCTACGGTAGGGATAGAGGCAGCCCAAAGTCATTATGTATAGTCGTCTTGATTTTTCTGAGGTGTCGATTCGACAACATACAGCCCCCACCACGATGTCGTTGTAGTACGCCAATTTCGCTAGTTCTCCTGCTTCTAGAACGTCTTTGTAGAATTTATCGTTATACGAGACAGGAAAAACCACGCTGTTAAGCCGTTTCAGTTGTTTGATATTATGTGGGGTTACGTTTCCTAACTCTATGTTTGCTCTACAAAAATACGTTCAAAATGCTACTAAAATCGTTTTTGCAACTCACCTAGTCATTTTTTAAGTTATTTAAATAAATTACTTGGTAAATTTAACCGTAAATTTTAAAATAATCGGGACTGATTCTCGTAATGTCAAAATAATGAAAGATGATGGAAGTGTCTAAAGTGCCACCACGCATTTTTTCTCTCTTTTTTCCGACGCGGCCCTCTCTCTTACTTTAATCAATTCTTAAATAAATAATCAAATTTAAAAATTAAATCGGACTTTAAGTGAAAAATGAAATTCAATACAACTCCAAACAGAGAGCAGCGAGGTTATCATTAAATATACATCGGATAATAACGGGTCTTCATCCTTTGAGGCCAACTTTCTATGTTCACAAATGCGCCAAAATTTATTGCCAACTTACTCAACGAAAATCGCAATTTATAAAACGCTTTTTCGGGAAGAAAAGGGCATGTTTCGTAAATACGACTAAAAAGACTTCTTCGTTGCTCCAAATGTGTTGTCGTAGGTTCATGAAAACAGTCGTTTAATCGAAGAGACTGGTAAATAATATCTTGAAGATAGTTACTTCCTGTTTGTAATGTTGTTCGTTGACAGTTGGGTGAAATCGGTGATAAGAGGTTGAGGTGTTTTCGAGAAAAAGGCGTCTGTGAGATGTTCAAAACAAGTAAATAAATTTGAAAATCTCGTGGAATGGAATCTAAAGTCCTACCGAATCGTTTGGTAGATTGCACGAATCAAACAAAAATGCTTAACAAACAACCCCAATCAAGGTGGTAATTAATTTTTTAAACGAGATCCCCAAGCAACATCATCAATTTTTCATTTTTAATTGCTTCTAATATTGTCCACGATGGCTGAATCAAATATTTATTACAACGACAGCAATTACATGAACCACCAAAGCTCTAGTGAAAAAGAAGTGATTGATTCAGTTGAAAATCTAAATGAGCACAGTGAAATGATTTGTGATGATTCTCTGACTGCCGCAGCTCCAGAAGAATCGAAAAGTGAAGCGAAGGAAGTGAGTGACGCCAACGAAGAACAAGAACATGTGGAAAGTCCCACTACCGGAGAGGCTTACACTTTTAAGTGCGTGTTTTGTGAACAACTTCTTAGTGCCAACGATGATCCAAAGTTGCTTGAGTGTTTACACAATGCGTGTGGAAACTGTATTGGAAATAAAATTTACGAACACCAAGAAACAGAACCAGAAAAGAGTGAGTTTTTAATTGTAGGATTAATCAATACGTCAATATTTGTGCATTCTAGATACTGTCGAATGTCCACTGTGTAATATAATATGTGAACCAGGGAAAATAATTGAAAACCAGTTCCTTTTGGAACTGGCCAATAATGATGACAGTAATTCAGCTAAATTGACAGAACTTAAATGTAGTAGTTGCACCGATGATGCAATTGCTACTAGTTGGTGTGTCGAATGCTCTGAGTACATTTGTGATAGTTGCGTCCAGGCTCATCAAAGGTTTTTGTTTTTCAACTGAGTTGTTTTGTCACTGTTTTTAAATATTATTCTTAGGTTGAAAATAACGAAGGACCATACTATTAAACCCAAGGAAGAAGGACTGAATGACAATCAGTCATCAACTAGTAGTTCTTCACCGAATTTATTCTGTTCAGTTCATCCACATGAAAAGCTATCATTATTTTGTGAAACTTGTGATAAATTAACTTGTCGCGATTGCCAACTCATTGAACATAGGGAACATAAATACAAATTTACAAACGAAATTGCTTTAGAAACGCGCAAGTTTATTTCTGATATGTTGAAAGATGTTGGGTATGTTAAATCTAAACACCGTTTTCCATATAATTAGTTTTTATTTGTAGATATAAGAGAGCGTTGTTGTGCAGCGCAATGAAAGTTATTGATGACCGCCAAAATTTAATTGTTGAAAAAAAACAAGCTTTAGTTAAAGAGATTACACAATTAGTGGTGAAGTAAGTAATTTGTGTTAAAGATATTTTTCCTTTTATGAAGAAATCGTGTCGTAGGTTAACAAATACAATAAACGTAAGGGGCAAACAATTAGTTTCTAAATTAACAGAAGTATGTGACAGCAAACAAAAAACCCTGCAGGAGAAAAAACAAGCCTTAGAACAACTGTCAAGAATGACCGATCACTGTATAGAATTCACTCAACACGCTTTGGACAATGGGAGCGATATGGCGCTCTTGTACAGTAAAAAGCAAGTTACAGATCATCTCAGAAGAATAAAGTGCAAACGAGCGGATATTCCCAACCCTGAAATCCCTGTCAGAATCCATCTGGCTTTGGATAAATTCCCAGATCTTGTAAAAGGTAGGATTTCTCCACACTTGGAATGCTTGAACTAAATTACTTTTGGTTTTTCTGCTTTCGTTGATAGGTTTGTCAACAGGTAACTTATTTTTCTTAGAACGAGAGGATTCGTCTGGTTTTCTAACTTTTTTTGCATATTATTTTTCAGTTATGTCCACAATCGGTCAGATTGTGGTTGATGGTAGGATTTATCCTTCTCAGTCTGTTTCCCCATCAACTTCAATACCGCCACATGGTTCACCCAGTCCAGGCCATACCAGGCCGCCTCAACAGCAATCGCCCATTAATCAGTTACTCCAACAGCAATCACCAACATACCAACAATCGTCGGGTTATCAACAATCGCCCAGATTACCGCCGCCTTATGGTCAGTTTTCAAACGGGACTCAGTACCAACAAGGTCAGAATATGAGTCCGCAACCCAATATGCAACAACCAATGGGAGGTAAGATAGTGCGGACGTTTGTTAAACGTGGTTTTAAAATATAAAATCAGTAGGACCAAAAATGATGCCTAATATGGGACCGCCGATGCCTCAACAAATACCGATTTCACTAGCCCAACAGCTGTCTGTAAATAGAATGCAAATGCAAAGACAAATGCCGAGACCGCTATTACCGAGAATGCCGGCAAATTCGGGAGGACTGAATCAACAACAGGTAAATTTAATATATTACTAATTGTTCATTATTTTGAGATCAAGTACACAGAAAGATTCAATCCGATTTATTAATAACATATTTTTAATACTGCGGTAACGTTTGAATTACAGTTGACACTTGCTTGTACAGAGTGGGGATAAAGTAACGCGTAATAAAATTCCTATTGGTAATGATAATGACACTGTATACGTTGCTATGGCGACCATATAACGTCACCAAACATTTTTGTGGCACCGTTGTTTAGAGGTTATACTCAGTCTTGACATGCTTAGATGATATTTAAGAGAACGTTATGCAAAATGCTGTGATAAAAAAGTTACGAAATTTTTAAACCCTACGTCTTTATCATGACCGGTTTTATGAATAGCTAGTAAATATTCATCTCATTTATGTAGAAATAATGCAGAATTTTATAATTATAGGGGATGAACTACCGTGATTGGTACTGAAATGCCGAATACAACATACATTTCTCTAACTCAAGATTGCAGATGTGAATAAAATATTTAATTAATTAATTTTTTAGATGTTTAGATTGTTGCAAATATTGTTTAGATAGTGCAAATTAGCATAAACATTTTTAACAATTTCAAAAATAAAATTTACTTCATGTTTTTTGACGCAATTTTTTCCTCAAATGTGAGAGTTTGTTCCTGTGTTCCTAAATACATTTCTTTTTCCTGTTTTGCTTTATTTTATAATACAGTCTCACTGGAGGTTTTGAACATGCCACAAAAGGAGATTGTAAAATTCTTGTGATATGGAAAAAAATCGAGATAATTGCCTCACCGGTTTGTCACACAAGCTTTTCTCGAAGTGGTGACTTTCATTGCTAAGGTTTGCTTAATCCTTTCTAGAAAATTGATGACGTCACCTCAAAAAATATTAAATATGTTAGGTATTTCATTATTTTTTTTCGTTGCAATTAAATAAAGTTGGTGTAATTATTACTGCCATCATTAGTATTTCATCTCGAACATTACAAAAAAATGTAGGAGAAATTAGATACGAAATACACAAACGAAAAGTATCATTGCAAAATTGATTGAGATTGAATGTTTACCTCCTTTGCACTATTTTGTAACGATCTAAATATCTTCTACTAGTATTTTTTTAAAGTAAATTTAGAAATTTTTTACCAATTCCAAATGTCATGTTGTTCGTCATTGCCTATTTATAGCGTGTAAGACAACTAATATCTGGTTGACCGAGTTTCACTCGGCTCGTTTGGTAGTATTAGATCAGATTAGGACAGATAAATATGCGTATAGTATGCATTTTGAAGTACACGCGCTACTTAAAAATACACATTAAAAAAGAAATTCCATAAGCAGTCTTTGTTTTAAACACTGATAAGTGACATGTAGAGATTAAAGAACAGAAAACTGGAATTATTGTTTGACATCTCATTTGTTACCCAAGTTTTCTCTCTGTCGTTTTTTTTTTCCTAGTTTTCTCTCTCGACTCTAGAAAAAGGTCACAACCACATTCTTACTGCCAGAAGAGTTTCGCCTCTGGTGTGGTTAACATACTGAGTTACCGTGCTCTTTTGTGTTATTCCTAATTTCTCAATCTCAACCCTGCTCCCGAAGATGCCATTTACGAAAGTGTGCGAAACGTTGAGCCCAAAAACTCAAATAACACGGTCCCATCCCCGAAAACGATCACATGTTGACACTGACCGTGGAACCTCTGAAATGAATGCTTGACAAAATAATCTCAATTCAACACACTTTCGTGTGCCTTTTATCCGCTCACTGTTTAGTTTTTGGTAAATTTTCTCACCCCAGGAGGTGAATTTCAACGTCCTCTATACAGTGGAGCATGTTTCGGTACGTACAATTGAAGATAAAAAGGTACGTCAAACGTACTGTCAGACTGTCACCCAAACTTCTCATATAAAACAATCTCGTGTTCGTGTAGTGTCATCTGATGTTGCCTAGCAACAAATATAATTCACTGCCTGAAAATTGCTGAAAATGCATGAAGCTGTAATTTTCAGAAGTTAAAACTATGATCAATCGATTTCTTGACCCAAAAAACCCCCAACCTGTAAATTTCATCGAAATCGTTAGAGCCGTTTTCGAGAAACCCATTACATATATATATATATACAAACTTTGCTCGTTTAATAGTATTAGATTAATTAAAAAGCAACTTAAAATGTTCTCTATCGATTATTAACAAAGCAAGAATAACATGTGATCTATTTTCCTATCTCTTTTCGACGGTTTGAAAGCGCCTTAAATTTCAGCCCATTTTTTTTGTGTTCGAAAAATCCTCTATTATCGCATAAATTGTTACATTAGTCGGCTTATCGCGGCGCCGGGAATTCCTGATAAGGGCGGTTTCCGTGGTATTGAATTGGGAGTTAAAAAAAAATAAAACAATAGATAAGTCAAGTGTACAACTTTATCTGGTTCTTTGCTACACGGAAACCCTCGGAAGCAGGTATGAGTATCAATATCTCCTTTCGTCACGCAGGGTTTTTTTTTGGTACCTGCCGTCTTTCTTTGGCCGAGCCAGGTTTACGCTTCCGGGGTACCTTAGACCGGCGACACCCTTATCTTCGCCCGAGACAAGATTCCGTCTCCGGAGTGCGATAGCCTGTTGATGCCTATCTTATGGCTTGTCGGATTTGGCGAAAGACCTCCTGTCGACATTCACCTTCGCCAGATAAGCCTTGAGACTCCCCCTTTCCCCTTTTCTTCTAGAGTTATTAGTTTTTTTTCCTGAACGGATCTTCGAAGTGTAGTTAGTAGTTATCGTAGTTGAGTTGTAAATTATAAGAGTTAAAGCTTTAACTTCGTGGGTTCTCTTAAAGTGTTTTGTCACCGTAAGTTTAATTGTTAATTCGTTTTAATTTGTTCCTCGTAATTTTGAATGTTAACTCGTAATTGATTAAAGTATGAATTGGGTCAGGTCATTTTCCAGTAGTTGTTAGTCCTAGCCCTCAATCTATTTAAACAATACTGGTGGCTCCCATAATAATGACAACCAAGAGCCCTCCCTCCTCTATGGGTGAATCGGCAAAAGTGTCTGTTTAAACAAAATAAAACCCACAAAGTTTTTCACAAAAATATCTTTATTTTCTTCAAAGTTGAGAAATACCGTTCGCTTTCCTCAGTTGGTAATCTACTATCGCACGCAAAAATCTTGTCTGTACCCTGCAGCGAGAGGTATTAGTCTTCTCCATCTCCTCGCTCCTGGTTTCCATAACCTCATAAACGCTTAGGTGGAATATAGTCGACAAGGACGAAAATTTCTTGGTTTGATTGCAGAAAGTTTTGAATCCGAAACGAGAACTTTTTGAGATAATGTTTGAAACTCTACATTACACTGATTTTTTTTTAACAAAAACTGGTCTAAAGTTATTTAAATAAAACTTCCCTCGTCCGTGAAACAAATACAGATTCTTCGAAAAATTATAAAATATAATATTGCGAATTTAATTTTTTTTTTGAAAACTCCTATTAAGTTAAAACAAAAATATGTGTGGAGTGTTAAAGTACATATAGACAAAGGAACATGCTATGTGTGTTTCAAGTGAGTTTTTCCATAATAAAATTTTGTGACAACACTTTATCAAGGACACTTTTTAATAGATGTAGTGTAATCCTAATAATAACAGTACTGTAAACTCAAATTTTCGAGGAAATGGGGTACGTTGTTGTTGATTTGATCAGTAAAATAGATTATTTCATTCATTTTTTTTTGACTCACCCAGTACAAGTAATCCAAAAATATGAATGCATTCATAAACCACAAGTAACACTCATAATAATTTACATGTCTTACATAGGATTTATTCGGCAGAATTTTGAGATGGGCGTCATCAATAAATGGATACATTTTGATTAATAACTTTAAAACGTTTGTAAGATTTCAAGGTTAAATTGTAAAATGTTGCTGCACAATTTTGATTTTTTCCCCACCATCAACGTGATAACATCACCTCAAAAAAGTGCTTAATATTTTTTTTTATTTTTATAAAATAACTTACTCCTACACTTGTGGTTTATGAATCTGTCCCGATTTTTTACCTTAGAAATCCATGTTTTTTTAAAATGAAAATTGCATAATAACATCACATTTTACAATTTAACTTTTAAATGCAAAACCGAATGTTCTGAAATGTTGCAAATGTTTTAAGATTATTGTACAAGCATCGTAAATCGTTAATCACAATTTATCCGTTTATCTTTATGTAATGTTACGTACACAGTAGGGTGTTCCTTATTTAGAGGTAATTTTGTATTTTTTCGAATTAAGTTGGTGTCACCCTCCAAAAAGTTTACATTTGGAATAGACAGTACGCATACAAAATTTTAACCCATTCCCTTTATCCCTTCCCGTGCCGCCATGAACTTGAATTTTCAAAAATTAAAATCTGCATAATATGCAGTAGGTCTTGAGTACAAACGTCAAATAATTGTACTTTTTGTGTTATGTGTAGCATGTTAGCGATTACAAAAAATTCTAATGGCTTTAACATTTTTTGACAGTGAAGCACCTGTGGAATTAAAGCAATGTATGGTAAAAGCTCTCACTAACGAAGGTAATTCCAGTGGAATGAAGAGATTAATAGTTCGACTAACAGATATTCACAGTTTAATTAGTAATTTAATCATCAATGTCAATTAATTATTTTCATAAATTTTTTAACATGTTCAAGAAAAGAGTTGAGAGTTTTATATCGAAAAATAGCGCGGGTCTCTTTTCACGCTTCAAAATTGACCCTCAGTTTTTGGAGTTTGATCCAACAACATGGGAATCCCACACATCATTTGTGAAGGGAAAATCAATTATAAGTTCCCTTAAAGTTGTCAATGACACCGCAGACAGATCTGTAAAATTGAGACAAGATTTTCATCGTTTGTTGATCAAAAATGAAGATCAAAGACAATATGTCTTGTGAACGGTTCAGGAACACAGAGCAATGTATCCCAATTGTAAAAAAACTACTACTTTAAATAAATCTTATTGATTGCATTTTAATTTTTAATATTTTTGAGTAGATATGGATTTGGTAATAATAATAGTAATATGTTTAACACATAACCTTTATTTTAAAAATGTCAACATTACTATTAATATCATTTTACTGACCCAAAATAAAAATATTTCACGACACAGAAAAAAGAGTTAATTTGTGTTGTTTATCAAACATTTATCGTGGTGGCGCCACTGGAAGAAGATCACTTAGGGGTATAATATTTTACATATATTTTTCTTATATCGAATGTAAACTGTTAATGGGGTGAGAGTTAAAGAAAACCAAACTTGGAAAATAAGGAACACCCTAATACACAGTGTATTAGAATTTACTGCGAAGTAATATCAAGTATGTGGAAAAGGAGTAGTAGGTAACAAATTATTAATATGAAAGCAATGAAGAAGAAAACGAAACTTAAAAAGAGGACCAAAAACAATTAAATAACTGGGAACATGTTTCACCATTTGAGCAGACATTACCGTTGTGTTAATTTTTATACATTTCGTTGGTAGGTTTTGTATTGTGTCATTTTCTAATTGTCAATATAGTAGAAATCCTCTATAACGATTTATTCGGTATAAGTGATTTTCGTAATAACAGGAAAAAAACATTCCAAACCTTTAGAATACAATTCTATTATCTAAAAAATGATCGAAAATGAACAAAACACATTTATTATTAAATAAGAAAAGACAATAATTTTAAAAATAAAAAAATCTGTTATTTTCGTTTGTTTTTGATTATTGTTAACTTTAAACATATCAAGTGCATTTTCTAAATCCACCAAATGGTCAAAAAGTTTATCGTGTTGTGGAGTAGAAGTACCCACCAACAAAAAACGACGAATATTTATATTTTAACATAAAACCACTTACATACATTTAATTCACGGTTTGTTCTAAACCATTTGAGAACGGCTTTATCGAGTTTAGAATTCTTCGTTGAATAAAGTGTTTATAACTTTTGAAGAAAATTCATTGTTGTGTGCTTTGGGCCTCTAGCGTCTTTCTTATAATAATTTAATTAAATTACGTCATTTGCTAAAATGAGTCTTATCTTAGTAGGTACTAGCCTTACCCGCCCGCCCTCTCGTTTTTTACAGGGTATATCATTTGCCAAAATCAGTTTTATCTTAGCAGGTACTAGCCCCGCCCACCCACCCGCTCTTTTCTTAGAAGGTATGTCATTTGCCAAAATCAGTTTTATTTTAGCAAGTACTAAAATAAAACTAAGTTTTACAAAAAATGATCAAAATTTGGCAATAGTACGAGTTTACTTATATACACAAGGCAGGAATTTTGAACATCTTCTCTAGTGTTTGGTTGGTTATGCTTTAATGGACTTTTTTTTGTTGGCTTTGTTTTTGTTTATAGTTTATAAATATTTTATTAAATGCTTTTATAAAATTACGTTTTTTTCGTAATCTACATCATAAAGAATTTTTTTATTATTTTTTTGGGACTCCTGATTAGTTAATCCGCCATTTTCCAGACACCAGGTATACGAATACGCAACTGACAAATGTAATTTTGACAAAAATATTTTATTCATTTTTTGTTTTTTAGAAAAAGTAATTTAGACAGAACAAGTTCAGATTCGTAGAATTTTGATAGGAGTTGTCTAGCAAAATTTTGAAATGACGTCAATGTCAGGACGAACAAACATATAAGCTTAAAGATCGCCCAAAATATCACACCAATTCATACAATATTAAATTTGGAGATTAGCTGTTGAAAAAGTCATTGACAGACAGACAAACGGAAAAAACATTTAAATTAAGCAAGTACCAACTGTATTTCAGCCGTGCCGCAATATAATCGATTGTACCTATTTTTCCACTATAACTTTTCACTTGGTTGTTTTTCCATCTTAAAACAAGTGTTCAGGCACCTAATTTAATGTAGAATATTCACCAGCAGGTTTCCTCCTCAACTCACCCACAAAACATGTTGTCAGATCGTAGCAACCTACGATGTTTACTTCAACCAACCAACACCAACACACCTGTATATATCCAAACAGGCCCAGCCCAATACCAAGCAGTACAACCCCACGTAGCTCAACAGTTCCAAGGTAGATTCCCCAACCAAGTCCAACAACAACCACAACAGCAATTCCGCCAGCAACAAACTCCAATGAGAATGATGGTACCAAACCAGAACCGGCCGAGCCCGCAAAGGCAGCCGTACCACATGCAAGGAGCCTCCGCCAGGTGGCACATACCTCAACAAACCGCGAACAACGGGAACAACGTCGGCAACAATCGCAACATGACGCTGCCAACAATCAACGACAACTTCAAAATCACCCTGAAACAACAGACTCAACCATCCGAGAACAAGAACTTGCCGGCTACGGTTACTTCGACCATTCCCAAGACGCCGAGTCCGAATCACGTACAAGGGCGTTCGGATACGGAACGTAGCTTAGACAAGTTCTGCGAGGACTCGGTGAAGGACTTGATGGCGACGATCGCCAAATTGGACTCGAATGGGGTTCAGGTGGTGGCGGAAGGGAGGCAAAAGACGGGGGGTTCACCGCATGTTGACAGTTCGACAGGCGACGCGGGACCGTCGGGGAAAATCAAGTCCGATCCTATGGATACGGGGAAGGACGATCCGAACGAGGATTGGTGCGCTGTGTGTATGGATGGAGGAGAATTGGTCTGCTGCGATAAATGCCCGAAAGTGTTTCATCAATACTGTCACATTCCTAATTTGAGTGTCGAGTGAGTATTTTTGATTTTTATTACTGGTATTATGATCCAGAATTTCAAATTCGGGATCGTTTTAAGAATAGATAAATTTTGACAGGACCTACGAGCAAAATAAAGTATACACTTTTTTATAGCAAATTTTACAAAACAGACAAATAAGCAGTCGAAATTATTTGTTAAAATACTGAAAGTAAGAAACATATTAGTAGCGTTAAGATTTAAATACTACTAAAATACAAGTTTAATAAATGTATTATCTTTGAAATTGCGGCAGCTGTGTGCCTGTTCATATTAGAGTGGCAATATTATGAGAAGAACATCTTGAGTCGTGTCACGTAAGCTTTAAGTAGTAGTGTATCATTTGTATTTTTTAAATAAGTATATTAGTATTCTCTGGCAATAGAAAACGAAAAACTTTGTAGTTTCTACCCCGTAAATTCGCATGTGGACTCTTCGGGACGCTGTGTCCGTAACATTTCTACTATAATATAATTTGGTCGAAAATAGTTTTTTGTTCTAATTGTACGACAAACTTCAAGAAGAAAATAATTTTTTGTTCATATGTTGCGAAAAAAGTAAAAAGAGAGCAATTTGGACATCTTTTTTAATGAAAATAAGTTTTGAAACTCGGTCTTTAAACGGTCCTAACTTTTTATTTGGGGACAAGATATGGGAATTAAAAAATCGCGTCAACGAACTTATGGACCTTCAGTGAAGATTTTTGGAAGTGGAAAATATTTTATAAAAATGCTGTAACATTCGTTTTTAATTTATTTTCTCATCAAATCATTGAAATATTGGTCAAAAAATTGATGACGTCTTCTTAAACATTTTGTTAAGTAAGCTATTTTAAATTGAGTTGCCTTAAAAAAATAATTTACCCAAGATATTAAACAGTGGATGGATTTTTGTTACATTGCTCATTTCATACTTAATCTATTATTTCCCTGTTAAAAATTGGTGACGTCATTTTTACGTAGCACTTTTCTGTGAAATTAATTGAGGACATGCCTCAAAAGGCCACCAGATGTTGGAATTACATTTAAAAGTATCACAATTAATGTAATTTGGAGACTTCGGTTCCGATTTATAAAAGCGTTGTTGTCTTAATTATGCGATTAATTGATCGTACGACCAAATTGAACAATCTAGATATTCAAGGTCAAGCCTAGTGCATCATCTACTATTTAACAAGGATTAATTTTTTATTTGTTTTTTATAAATTGATCCCTGGAGAGTTAAGGATAGCAAAAATGTATTTTTTTTTATCTGTGCAGGTTTTAAATTTATGGTTATTTCAAAAGTGTTTGACAGTACGGCTTAAAGATGCATATATACAGGGTAAGTCACTAAGCGCGCGTTCCTTAATATATCATTCATTATTAGAAATAGAAGAAATTGTACGGTTCTTTGAGGACTATACTTTAAAATTATTTTTAGCTGTACAATATCCAACTTAGTTTTTTTTTAATGAAATACCCTATACATTTTTAGATATTTTGATTGACCTCTTCCCAGGCTTTACAATCTCTGTTTATTCTTGAAATTCTGATGCGACGGTGCCACGTTATTTTAATTTTCTTGAATTTTTTTAACAATAGAAGGGTTCTCAAAAAGACCGAAATGGAGTTATTTTTAAAATCTGTGTTACAATATTTTGTGGAGAGATAGATAATAAATAACAAAAAACTTAAAAATTGTTTACGATGAACTGGACAAGTGTGGCGAATTTTTAGAGTTTTTTGATTTATTGGTCTACATCAATATTTTGTTTCTGTAAGTGAACGTCAAATTGACGTACTGTATAAAGGTTATCAGAAAACAAACATTTTTTATAATTCTTTAAAGAAGCGGAATTTGTTGGACTGTTCTTCAACAGCGAGGGAAGTTCTGTCGAAGTAACCTTGGATCAATTTTTTTTAAGATACATTTCGACATGTTAAAAGAATGAGAACAAAAAAATAGAGTAAGATACAGTAATCAAATACAGGGTGTTGTATTTGAAAAAACTGAAATATTGATATTTGAAAATTGTAATGTTTAGAATTTTTCCTCGGTATATTAAAATTTGATTAACTGACACTACAACAAAGCGCAGACCTCTGTTTATCCTTCTACGAAACATTGTAAGGCTGATTTTAAAAATAGTCCTATTGTGATTTTTTTTTGTGAAGCTTTTCATTACCAAAAATGTGAACATCTTAAAAACAGAACACTGTGTAGTTAAAAATAATTTTAGACTATAGTCCTCAAAGAACCGTACAACTTTGGTCTTTGCCATTTTTGAATCTCTAATAAATAATTAATGAGATCTAGTAACTCACCCTGTATGTTATCCTATTTAAAAAAAAATCCTTATAAAAAGTCGAAGACGTCACCAACAACACTGTCTAAAAATTAATATGAATAAAACTGATTGATTTCTTTCAGTATTTTTGTTAAATATTAGTTTATTGAATTTATTGCATTAGTAATTTATACCGGGTGACTTAATGATTGAAAGAAAAATTTTTGCTGGAAATCCTGAGTTATTGGCAGCAACGGTGGTATATTGCGTTCGTGATCATTTTAAACACGCAGTAGGCCAAGATATTTTTTTGTTAGGTTACCGTCAGATCCTGTTATATGACGTTCCTTTTTACATATTGGTCGTGTTGTTAATTCTGTCATTAATTTAATGCATCAATGCTCTATCGTTATCGATTAAGTATAACCTAAAATAAATTTATTATGACAAATCACAATGCTCTTAACTAAACTGTCAGATTTTCGTAGATAGCAGGAATTTGAAACAATTGTGAACGGTATACTATCATAAAATTTTAAATATGTTGCCAATTTGACAAAAATTACAACTATTAATAGCTACTCGGTATTAAAAAAAACATAATGCAGAGATAATAAATTGATTATTGCACAGATAATTACAAAATATCCTACATTAAGTGGGCCTGGAAAATGTATCACTCTAAGATTAATTGACATTTGTGACAGGCGAAGATCACTAGATATTAGTAGATCAATCAAAAGATTGTACATCAAGTTGGTTTTGAAATTTATAAGTGATTATAAAAATAATCACCTTGCATCACAGGGATTTATTAAAAAAACAGTATTGCAGATGCCTGAACGAGATAAATTTTGTTTAGCCCAAACATTAGAGTGAAATAATTAGTCACATTATCCCACTAGTGCGATATAGAGTTCATAACATATATTTAAAATTACCCCATTTATAGAAGTGGCTTAAGTTGGCTAAATGCACTCATTTTTTACACAATTGCAGTAGGGTCCATCCGACATAATGTTCGAAACTACCGGACGGATTGTCGTCAAATTTTATATATATTAACTGCTTCTGATATACGTATACGTGTCGGTTAATTTTTAAAAAGAATAGTATCTGGTAGGCGGGTAGAAAATATTGGAAATATATTTGTTTTGTAAGTTTTTTTTTTGTGTAGGTTTGTTTTAGTGTGGTATGATTTTAGAATTATCAATAACTGTAAATTTATTTACAACTTAGTAAGATTACCAAAAATTATACAAAAAAATGAATATATTAATATAAATTTAAAGTTATTATTACTTGTTGTTAGAATTTAATTTAATAATATGAAATAAATTTACATTTTTATTTAAAAATAATGCGAAATATGTATTCTTTTTAAGGGAAAACGACACTTGGCAGTGTTTGCTATGTACAAACTTTTCTGATCTCTCCGAACACCTGTCAAACGATAAAAAAGAAGGGGAACTGAGTGAGAAAGACAAGAAAATAGCCGAACGCATAGTTCTCGAATTATACTGTCAGTATGACCCTAGTTTGCCTTTTAGAGAAGTTATAGGACCAGAGGTAAGCGCATCCAGGTGTCCGCAAATTCTTCAGTAATCCATTTCCAGAACGAGGAATACCACTCAATTATCAAAAGTCCGATCGCTCTGGACAGTATCCGCCAAAAGTTGAACTGGGCATCACCTGACCATTATACCTGCATGGAGCAGTTAATCAAAGACGTACGATTAATGTTTAAAAACGCATATACGTACAACCCTGTAAGTATTAGAGATATGTTGCGAGATGTGCGTTGATTGCTTGATTTTTAAGGAGGATTCTCAAGTATACGCCGATGCAAAAACTTTGGAAAAGTTCTTCGACGAACAGTTAGAAAAGTTCCTGCCAGAATACGCTTATGAACATTTCGACGATGATGATATTCAGCCCCCTACTAAAAAATATCGGCGCATTATAAGTGATTGACAAATTGTTCAGGGGGCGAATAATACTGTGTATTTCTCCCTATAGTTCAAAATGAAAACTTTTTCAAGTTTTTCAATTTATTTAAGGGCAGTTGTTCGTTAAAAAGACAGTAGTTATTGTTGGATACTGTTGAAGTGTGGGACAACTTGCTCTTAATTGTTAGACTTTTATCATGTTTTAGTGATCGATATATATTGTTAGTTAATTATTTAATTGGGTTTTATTTAAGACTTCTTTTATGATTTGTACATGTTACAGTTGTAATGCGGTTTCGAATGTGTAGTTACGTCTTGAACGAAATCGTTTTGTTGTTTTTATAGAATCTATAATCAATCAAGTATAGAGTGTATTTACGCACATAGTTGGTGTTTTATACAAGGGTTCTATTAACATTAAGATTTGAGGAATGATCTCTTGGTGTTATAGATCACTGTGTATAGTCACATGTGATCAAAGTTTAAAATAATCAGGTTAATTATGACACCATACAGTCTGGAGGTTAACAAATTTATATATTAAAGTCATTGTTTTTCTTACTCTTTTTGATTGCATGTGATAAGTAGGGCTATATCGACAGAATAATGTTGTACCTATACAATAGACATTCAGTATAAACATACATAGATGTATATTGATGAAATTATAGTACATGAAATAAAAATATTTATCTATTTTGTTATGTGCATTTAATTGATTGTCTGATAATCAATTTGTAAGCTGTATAAATTATAATAAAGATATATTAATGTCATTTCGTCTTTTTATTCACTGTTTACAATGCCGGCGAAACACCACATACACAAAACGCATTTAAACCAGCATTCGTGCGATAAAGAGTGGTTTATGGTACTAGTAGGCGAAGTGGAACTTTGCCGCACGGAAAACTATGTGTAATAGTGTAACATAACTTTCGTTTTGCTAAAATTATAAAACTGGTTACAAAAGTGGTAAAAGAAAATGTAAGTAAAATTTTTGACAACAGTAAAAACCGCAGCTTAGTAACATATGCAGGTAGGTATTATTTTAAAATTTTGCCTTTTTAAATGAGTTTGTAGTTGATTTTTTAAAATCACGAATTAAAGTTACCATTTTTTTTACAATAATTGAATAAATACAATGGAATAAAAAAAGTTGGTTGGAGTTGGGCGTAATTGTAAACCTTCAGTTGGCAGTTCTAATCTGCGAACGTTCCGAGTGTTTTGTGGAACATCAACATGTTTTGGGGTTAATAATATTAACTCACTTTGGGATCTGAACTTTGTCGTCGGGTTGGCTCGCCGGCGAAGTAGGTTGTACGGGATATCAACTTTCGGTCGTTACCAAATTTTCCTAACAACAAACCAGTAGTTGGATTGGTAATCTAATAAAATTACTACGTCAGAATCTCTCAGTTTTAAGTTAATAAAATATTTACACCAAGAATACCAGGATTGTTTTTTAAACAAAAAAGAATAAGCATTGCATTCGGTTTGTTATAAATAAATTAAACTTGTTTTAGGATTGTACAGAATTAATTGTGCTAACAAGTGATAATCCACTCTAAAAGTGGAAACTCATAGCAACAATGTGTATTTATTATATCAATAACGAAAAGAATAATAGGTGGATATTTTACATGTTTCGAACATGTTTGTAGTTTATAGTTTTTAAGACGTGGAATTGTTAGGACTCATCCATTTTTTTTTTAAGTAATACCTACCTAATTACTAAAGGAGTACTAAATTTTTGCAAAATTAAAAAAAAAACACAGTGGTGGTTACAGTTCCACTGAAATTCGATGTTCTTCACAATATGGCGATGGCGAAATTAAGAACACGAAATCACATTTGTAGCAACGTATTATTAATTGAACTTTAGAAATTGTAGCCAACCCTAATTTCTTTCTTTTTCATTGGTGCAGAAAAACATAACTGAAAAATTAATTAAATTAGAAACATCTGTCTCCAATTTTGTGAGCCCTAGACAAACTAAAGACTGCCGATCTTGGAATATCAACCCAGGAGTTAACCATATGATGAAAAAAAAACTCCTCTAGTAGGTCATCAAATTTATTTTTATAATAATGATGTTGGCAACACCAATATTTTTTTCCAATACCATTATTTTAAAAATAAATTTCATGGTCCACTAGAGGGATTTTTTCCGATGATGTCGTATTATTGTTAATGTAATATAGAGATTTCCGAGTTTTTTTTTATAGTACCGTATGGATATGATCGAAAAAAAGAACTCCTCTAGTTTTTAAAATAATGATGTTGGTATTGCGTCTAGGTATTTGACCCGTTTGACCCTTTATTTGATTGACAGTTAACTGATTTGACAAGGATCAAGGAACGCGTTGGTGTTGCAACATCATTATTTTAAAAACAAATTTTCATATTGTTTTTACCTATTGAGAATTAATAAGGATTTTAAATCGGGAACCAATCTGTGATTTGATTTTTCTTTTATATAATGAATCCAATTTAAGTAGTAAATTTAACTAGTAATCTTTGGTTGTTAACTAAGTATGTAAGACAGTGAATTTTTTTGGAAAATGTAGTAGTACAGTCATTTCCAAAAAAATTCGGGCAAGATGAGCAAATCAGGTTTTTATAGGTCAATGAAAAGCAATGGGAATATGACTTTCATGTCCATTTCATTTGCCCGAGATTTTTTGAAACAACGGTATGAAGTAATGGGGTGATAATGAGTCATTATTTCTTTTATGGTTCTTTGTGACGTTATCAAGATGGCGGATATAGTTGCTTTTGACGCTATTCTGGTTGTTTTATTACGTCAAAAGTTAATCATTTTAGATATCCCTAGAACTCGGGAAAGAAATCCTAAATAAGGGAGACGATTAAAAATTATTGGAAGGCCAGCCCAGAAAGAAAATAATAAATTATCGATTTTAAAAATTCATAGATCAAATGCAAAAATTGTTGACAACCAGCTCCTTTTTTCAACAATAATTTCAAAGTGTAATCTACAAATTACTACTACACTGTAAAAAATATAATTTTACCACACGTAATTGTAATAGTTACCCATATTAAAGAAATGATTTTACCATAATTTTAAGGTGAAATTTGATTTTACTTAAAAATGAAGGTAAAATCACGTCTTTATTATGAATAATTATTACCTTACGTACGGTAAAATTACACTTTTCTTACAGTGTAACCAGCTTACAAGTTCTAATATTAAATATTTTGGTTTACTATAACTGAAGAAATATTGAAGACATTAACGCTATAAAGATGGTGTTGTTAGAATCTTCAGTGTCTATTTAGTTCTCTTAAGAAACAAAAATAAAATTTGAAATACCATATATTTTAAAATGTGATGGCACTAATAATAAAAAAAAACACGGAAACTGAAAAAAAATGTTTACAATAAAACTTTCATAAAAGATCATGTATCTACTAGTTCTTCGAAAATTAAGGGCGGTTAACGAACAACACTGCTGGGAAGTCCCCTAAATAAAATGTATTGCTGCGGGTTAAACTTAAACTTAATAAGAAATCAGTTTTTTAGCATGTTTAGAGTTTTAAAAAACAGGTTAAAATACTTAAGTTATCTGAGACATTTATTTTCCTTACTTCAAAAATTGTGTTAAAAATAATACTAATACCTTAAATAAATAAACCGATAACTTACAGAAATACGAATGTTAATCTGTGTTATGTACCATCTAGATCAGATAATTATGTGTCAAGATGTTCTGAATGCTCAAAACAAGTCGAAATATAGCTCGGAACTCATAAATCTCAAAAAAGATCATTTTTAGCTAAAATATGAAGGTTTGCTTGGTATTTTCGAGCCTCTAGGGTGGAAAAATTATAGGAATTGTTAAAAGTTACATTTTTGAAGGTTAAGAACGAATAGACCTTCTTCACGATCAAGTGAAAAAAATTGCAATATGTGTCAGTACTCAAATTTAAGTTGGCAACAATGAATTTTAAATAAAATTTTAAATATGGGAAAATCAAGTTTAATCGTGCTCAGATGTGATACAGAGTTAACTTTTATCATTCACAATAAATTATATTTTTTATATTAATTAATACTTATTATATATTTCAGTTATTTTTTTTAATAGTTCTATGATTATTGTAATTTCACTGACTAAAATTTAAACAATAATTTAGATTAATTTGGTACTGTCTATCTATAACGATGAGTTTTGTTGTTTAGTTAACAATAAATAGTAAAGAAGAAGTTATTGAAAAATTTATTTAGTAAAATGAATCAAATTATGGGTGCAATGCCCCCTCCCTCACACACGACCGAGGTACTTTAATTTGACCAATTTCAAAATTTTGAAATCGCATTTCATTTTGTAAACACAGTACAACCTCTATAATCCGAATTCACGATTATCCGAACATCCAGTAATCCGAACAGAGGCTATTTAAAGTCGATGCTTCTTTAATCCGAACTGAATTTGGAACCACGCACCTACTTGCAAAAATGACGCCAGATCTTTCTGCATATGTTGTATGGAATATTTTGAAATTTTTAAAAATTGCGATATATCAATGCACTGAATTAATTAACTAATTCTGGAAAAAAGGTTGAAGTTATCGAAGAAATGAAGCCCGAAATCTACAAGAAAAAGTATTTAGTAAAATTTCGAAAATCGTCGAAAATGGGTCGAAATTTGCATGAGGAAAATTTCATTTTTGAAAAAGTTTCTTAAAACTTCTGAAAACATTCAGGGATATATGTATATCCCGACGTGCTGATTCCAAAAATATAGCATGTTTATGGTCACGGAGTAGTATTTTTTTTAGAATGTATCTATTATCCATTATTGCTTAACAATTCTTTAATTTTGTTTAATAAAATTAAGGTTTATTTCTTGCAGTTTGTTTTCAATTGTGTATGAAGTTGTTATTCAATTCCCTTTCAGATTTTTGGGAAAATCGCTGATCCGAACAAATCGTTAATCCGAAAACACCTTTTTCCCAATTAATGAGGATTATCGAGGTTCTACTGTACACTATACGTGTAACGAAAACAACCAAATGTCACCCATGTTATGTGAAAAAGAGTATACTAGCTAAAATGTTATAAATTGTTTGTTTAGAACGAATTTCTGGGAGATAGGTAAAATCGCACAAAAATTGACCCCCTCCCCTAAACGAAATCCTGTATCCGCCCCTGTCCAAAGTATTGTCTAAATTGCAGACATTGTACTTAAATTTGTGGTAGTATTTAATT